TGACAAGCATTTTATGAAAATAATACAATCTCATGACCTACAGTTCAAAATTTAATTGATAAATTAGTATTTATATTTTTTCGATAAATTACTCGTAAGTATATTACGGGTAGTTTGGTTAGTTAGGTCTGCTTCACTGAGATTTATTAATAATAAGCCTAATAATTTTGGCAAACACGATTTCCTATAATAAACAATAAAGCCGAAATAAAATTTATATACCTAGGGACGTCTCTGTAATATGTTTATACTAGCCTATGGAAAGTTTTTCCTGTTGTATTTTCTTTTATCCACTTCAGTCCGTAGAGCACAAGACACCATAATAATATTTTTCAATTTGTGCAAATAGTATCACAAAAGCCTCTGAATTTCAAAAATAAGTACAATTTACTGCAATGAAATCCAAACCAACTCGCATAACGTACTTTGACAGAAGTCGGTCATCAATATGGTGTACCCGGTGTCGCTCAAAATCACGTGATTTCGTCTCCTCTTTTATTATATCTCGATGGTCTAGATAGAGAAACTTCCTGAATTCGGTCGGTTAAATACGCAGTGAAAAACTTAAGTGAGGTATTATCAAAGTCAATATATTTCAATTTAGCTAGAAGAAGGAGATGATGGATCCTATCAAATGCCTTAGAATAATCAACCGATATTAAAGCTACTGTGACCTTTTTATCAAGTGCTCGTGGCACATTATAATAATAATAATAATAATAATAATAATAATAATAATAATAATCCGGCTTTATTTATACAAAGTATAAAAAGGCGAAGTGTCGCTAAAAAGCGTTTTTCAACTTAACCCAACAAATATTTATGTAAGTTTTCTAGTCCCAATGAAAACAAAAGAGTTTAAACTGTAACGAGTCCTTATTCATGGCCATGGTCTACTTACGGAGCAATGAAATCAGAGATAAAATGCTTCAATCTTCTTTGAAATTCTTTATAGAGTAGTGAGTGAACCCGGTAGGCAACGCGTTGTATAGCTTGATAGCAGTATATACTTACGACCTTTTAAATAGAGATGTTGAATGTCGCGGGATAACCAAGATATATGCTTATTCTTTGTGTTCAGTTGATTAACATCTGAGTATCTGATAAATTTGGCTCACGATATTTATGTGACACTGTATCAAATTTTCTCACTCCACAAACAAATCTGAGATACCTTCGATCTTAGTGCAGGCCCATAAATACAGTCACAGTAGTGACCATATTAAGGTTTCGCACAACTTCAGCTTGAGACCAGTATTCATACTTTTCCGATGAGGAAATAATTGCTTCAAGACACTGAATGATGTTCGGCACAGTTGACTAACGTGTTTTTCAAACCTCAAATCAAGATCAATCCAGAGTAATAAATTCTTGCACTCATTTTTTATAGGGGTCGGTTGATCTGAAATGCTCAATGATAGTAATGGTTTTGCCTGACTTTTTTTGATTTTTGGTCCAAATATAACTGCGGATGATTTTAACGGATTAATTTTGAGATTATGGGCACAGGATGCGTTAGACAAGTCGAATGATCTTGGTGAGTCTACCGCTTTAATACTATTAGATTTCAGCAAGGCATTTGACACAATTAACCATGATGTCTTGCTGTCTATCTTAAAGTCATGTGGATTGTCTACTGACAGCATACAACTTTTTAATTCATACTTAAGTGGCAGATCACAGTGTGTACAACTGAAGAATTAAATATCTAGTTCAAAGCCCACTACCACAGATGTACCGCAAGGATCTATACTTGGACCATTGCTCTCCACTATATATACTAGTCAGATCCTTAAATGTTTGGAATTCTGTAAGTCACACGTTTATGCGGATGATACCCAGCTGTACTATTCCTTTCCTAGTTCTGATTGGCCAGCTGTGGAGTTGAAAATATACAGTGACTTGACTAACCTCTCTAAAGGATTACAAGAGCATTCATTACTATTAAATCCAAATAAATCAGCTGCTGTGATCTTTGGTAAAGGCCGTTCTTATGTGATTGAGAATTTAAATATAACCATAAATAATATTATATTAAAAGACTGTGATAAAGTTAAAAACTTAGGCTTAAAAATGGATTATAATCTGAGGTATCGTCAGCACATATCAAACTGTATCAAAAAATCTTATCTGGCTCTAAAATTATTGTATCCTCACCGAAATTTTCTCAACTTACACATCAAAAGAATTCTTTGCGAAACCTTGGTTTTATCACAGTTTTCGTACTGTGTTCCAATTTATTCTGCATGTTTAGATTGTGATACATACATGCGAATACAGAGCACACAGAACTCATGCATACGTTTTATATATGGCATAAGAAAATTTGAATGAGTTAGTCATAAGCTGAAAAAACTCCGGTGGCTAAATACGAAGGATCGTTTTGAGATATTCACGATATGCTTTTATCATAAAATTTTAACTCTCAGGCAGCCTCATTACCTCTACGAGAAAATAACATTCAGAAAAGACATCCATTCCGTAAATATTCGTTCGAAACAAAACATTAATGCTCCATTCCACACAACTAAATTTTATGAAAGATCATTTACGTATAATATAAATAAGCTATACAATCCTATCCCCCAGTACCTCAAATCATATGAAATTCACAAGTTCCAAGCGGTTTTGCATGATTCTTACGTTGAATGTATAAAGTAGAATTATTCTTACTGCGGAATTTCAATTTTATTTTGTTTGCATTCCATTATTTTATTTATATTTTTTTCATATGATGCATACTGTATGTATATGTATTTATATATCATTCTAGACTTTTAAATTTACCACCACGTTTTCCCTTTGCTCTTTTTTTTCAAACTTAATTGTCGCTCATATTGGCATTTATTTATGTGGTATCTATGGGTATATATATATATATATATATACTTTGTAGTTGAGTCATTAATTTTTAGATAATGATTGTAGAAGGAAGATAAACCAAAATATGTGTGTAAAAATAAAAAAAAATTAAAAAATATGTTTACCTTGTTTTATAAAGTATCCTCCCGACAAGTATTTCAGTGCGGACCTGTATTTGATCGTGAGGTCTCCTGTGAGGTCTTAAGTCACCTGATTCACGAGCCCGTTGTACTACATTAACAAAGGCACGAGGGGTTGGTTGCACTTGATTGGGAAACCGATCCGCATTAGCATGTGCCATTTTTTATTTCGTTTGAGCCACGCAACAGGTACCACTATTCACTGACACTGACTGTATACAAATGAATGAAATAATTGTAAAAACATCGTTCCAAATTCTTTCGCTTTTTTGTTTCCGATGCGATGAACCGATACGGCGGATTATATCCGTTGTCGCCAAACACCAGCACATAATATTATTATTGAGACAGGGCGGTACTCAAACTTCCAAAGGGCTATAACTTTGTTACTTTAATTTTACCAGAAAAATGGTAAAGGAAAAAACATTTCTTTTGATCAGATCTACTCACTGTTAAAATAAATGACTCAACTTCGTATATATATCTATATATTATTCTAGAGTTTCTTTTTTTTAATTTATTACCACATTTCTCAATTTTCTATCTTATTTTTAAAAAAACTTACATGCTGTTCATATTCATGTTTGTATATGCTTGATGAATGTATTTACTGGCTTAATGTTTCTTACAATTTCAAGGGATGAGTGGAAGAGCACTAGATAGTGAACTCCCCCTTGTGGTTTTCAGACAGTCGACATTTGTTTTATTTATTTTCCTTTTTTTTTGGTTAATACATGTTTCTCTTTCTGATTTTTTTTTTGAGAACTGTTTGAAAATAAAGGCATTTATTATTATTATTATTATTATAAATTTATTAAATCATTATTAATCAAATGTTCGGCATTTTTTAAATCTTTAATACCAAAGACAAAGTACAATCGAGTGTCGTCAGCATAGTGATGAATACTGCAGTGTTCAACGTACTTACGGAAGTCAGAAATATAAATTGAGAACGATAATGGCCCCAGAATGGAACCTTGTGGTGCCCCTAGTTCAACTGGTATCTCCTCCGGGATACTTGACCCAATCACAACCATCTGACTCCTGTCAGTGAAATAACTTAATACAAAATTAATTGCAGATTCCGAAAGTATATAAGCTTTTTCACAAGAATAGATGGTTCCAGAGTATCGAAAGCCTTTGTATAATCAAGTAACACTAAGCATACTAAATTTCCTTGATCTACATCCGAACTTTTGTTGTACCGTGCTTTTTTCTGAAACCCGATTGGGTTTCAGGAATGATACCAAGACGTAGTCAGATACCTGATGTTTCATGGCTAGTTCTAATACCTTGGGAAATGCTGGTAGTACAGTTATCGGCCTCAGATGTGAAATATCTGTACTGTTACTTATTTTAGCTACGGGGAGAACGTTTGCATGTTTCCAACAGTTGGGATAGTTTCATGTTGCAATTGCATAGTTGATCTTGAAAGTTATATTTTCAATTAGCAAATCGAATATGATTGTTAGCATATTTAGGTTGATTCCGTCACTTTTGATATTCCAGAAAAATCCCAAATCGTGGCAAGTTATTTGGGAGAATGTGAATTGCCTGGCTTGCTGGCTGGTGTTATATTTTTCCAGCAGTTTTATTTGTAACTCAGACTTAACAATGGTAGGTATCTAGAAAAATACTTATTGATGTCATTAACGTCCTACAGATGGCCAGGTAACTCTTTCAAGTTGCAACTGATAATGCTAAGTCTCCGAAGACAGCTCCAGGTAGCTTTAGAATCTTTTTTTGAGAGAATGAATTCCATATAGGCTTTTTCTCCCTATTGATAGCCTTCGCAACTTCATTGCGCATTTCTTTATAGAAAACCCACTTGCCTACCTATTTATTCTGCTTGCACTTATTATATGCCTTATCTCTCGACTTCATCATTTCTTTTATATTATATGTTAACCATGGTGCCGGAGGCTTTGATATCCTAATAGTCCTTACTGGTGCACTAACGTCAAAAAGTCTATTCACGTTATCATTCAGAAAATATACCATTTCGTTCGCATCTTGCATGTTGTATATCTGATCCCAAGGAACCAAATAACACAGTTCAAGGAATTTTTGCTGGTCGAAATGCTTGAAATCACGGAAGGTATAATGTCTAACTTTGTTATTGATCAGTGCAGTAGTAATTTCGCATGTAATGATACAGTGATCCGATATACAGGGTTATCCAAATTAAGTGTCCACCATTAGTAACTTTGTTATTAGTGAAAATACAAAGTTGTTTGAATTAGCAAACTAGTAGCATTTTTAACGCTGGTAAAAATGAGAAATAAAAAAAAACAATTGAGAGTCGTTATTTTGATAATATTTAATAACATTTTTTTAAATGGAAACCCCTGTATATTATATTTTTTTCTGTTAAAGCATCAAATTTTAAACAAAAAAGCTTACAATAACTTTTCTCCTAGGTTACAAATTGTTGAAGTTATGGCCTCCAATCTGAAACAATTAAATTGTATCGACAAACTTTATTTTCAATATCAACTTATAATCTTACAAAATACAATAACAATTTTTTTTAAAGAAGATGCTCGAAAACACCACCTTGTTCTTCAATACATTTTTGGGCACGTTTTTCAACTGCTCGAACTGTCTTAAGTATGGTCCTACCATCTATCTGGGTTATCTTTTCCCTAACTGCAGTCTTTAACGCGTCAAGGTTATCGTACCTTCGCTTGTAAATTTGGTTCTTTAAGTAACCCCACAAGAAGTAATCAAGTGGGTTTAGATCTGGTGATCTGGGAGGCCACTGTATTGGGCCATTTGTTGATATCCACTGATCATTAAAAGTAGTACTTAGAAAATGATAAGTACCTCTGGAGTTGTGGGCAGGTGCGCCATCTTGCTGAAAATGCAGATGATGTCTACTTATAAGATCCAATTCGTCTAAGAAATTAGTCAGAATTTCTGACATAAATTCCACATATCTTTCACCAGTTAGGGTTCCCTCATAAAAGAACGGGCCAACAATTTTTGAACCAATTATACCGCACCAAACGTTGAAACTGAAACGGACTTGTGGGCCTCTTGGATGTACTAACAAAAGATTTTCTCTTGACCAATAATGGTGGTTTTTTCTATTAAACATTCCAGAATTTGAAAAATTTGATTCATCTGTCCATAAAAGGTAACGAAAGTTATTTACATTTTGGCGACAGAAGCTAAGATACCAATGGCAAAAAACAAGTCTTCTCTCTGGATCCCCTGCCAAAAGCGTTTGAACTGGTCGGTACTTATACGGAATAAATTTGTATTTTTTTAAAATCCTTTGAACAGTACCATAACTGAAATTAGAGTCCTTGGGAATATCTGCTATTGAATTCTCACGATAAGCTTCAAAATATCCAATAACTGCAATTTCCGTGGCCTCGCTTATTATGAATTCTTTTTTTGCCCTTGTTTTAGCAAAAACATTTTCGTTGCCCCTAAATTTTCGATAAAGTCTCAGAAACTATCGTTCATACGGTTGAATGCGAGCGGGATATAATTCACTGTAGTATTCTCTTGCTCTCAAGGAGGATTTTCTGCACACTAAATAGCATTCTAACATATCACACTTTTCTTCATGGGAGAACATTTTTCATTAAATTAATGACACAATAAAGCTTATAAACAAGTATTTACACTAATGTTTGACATTATTTGATTTTATCATTGTTTTCCAAAGCCTTCTAGTTGCGAGTATGTCCAGTTTAACAATTTGTCGCTTATCTTAATGCTGTCAAATCGCGAACGCCATGTTGTTTTCATAGCCGTCTTAATATTATAATACTGCAAATAATTAAAAATATTTATCGTTATTTTGACTTTAGCGGAAAAGTCATTATGAACTTTTTTGTTTAAATTTTGATGCTTTAACAGAAAAAAATATAATATACAGGGGTTTCCATTTAAAAAAATGTTATTTTACTGAAAAAAATCAAAGTAAGTAAAAGTAAGTTTTTATACGTAGTACGAAGATTCCACGCAAGATCCTCGTCAGCGGATTACGGGTGAATGTAGACAAATAATCCAAGACACTACCTCCAGCACGTATTACCACACTGACCTACCTCTTTATAGCAAATTAGTTTTAGCTTTAACTTTAATATGCGTGTAAACTGTAAGTTGTTTTTGGTTTTTAAATAATCGGAGACTTGTATTTAATTTTAACGACTTGTTACTATGGAAACTGTATTGATATTAATATTTACGATATACTCGTAATTGCTTATCACAATTTCTAGAATTTTATTATAAACTCAAATAGCTTCACAAAGATTGAAGGTAGGTATACACTTTAAGCAACAAAAGTTACTCAAAACTTGATGGAGAATCTAAAAATTTGAAAAAGGAGGATTTTCATTTAAAAATCTAAAATATAACGCAATATCTTATTTTTGAATCACCCTGTATTGTATGGCTTTTTCCCAAAATGTACCAGGAGAGTCACAAATGGGGGTGCGACCTCTTCTTTGACACGTACGTACAATTAAACTACAATTGTTTACTAGATATGGCCCACCATTGTTTATTTCCCATAGTTATGTATAGTTAGGTACATATACATGAGTTGGTGCTCTTCCTTCTGTCGTTCAGCCTTGGTTAAAATCTACACCTGTCACAGACGTTATCCAGGTCAGGTATTTGGCTACGTTGACACATACCGCGGGCATTCCTATATCGCAGTAAGAGTGTCCATACGAGATTATACCTACTTGTTCCCCATTGAGTAATACCGGCCCTCCTGAGTCGCCCATGCAGGACTTGTCTCGACGTCTGCCTGAAAGTAAACGATAATAGGATGTCATCAAATGAACTTTTTATAAATCGCTTTCACCGGCAACCGATATCGGGCGGCAACCCGACAAAAGCAATAACACACTAAAACTGACAGCGCGACAGTTGTTCCATGAATTGATTTTCGACGTGTAGTCATTCAAAATAACATTCGTTGCACCTTTGAGCCCCCAGTAACAGAACGACACTGGTATTATAAAAAACCAATAAAACGCCAAAAAAAAAACCTTAAAATATCATCTTGCTGACACTAGGTTGTCTTAGGGTGCAAACAGTCATTTAGCGTTTGCTCACTAGGATCGTTGTGATCGTCCATTCATAGAGGAATCACTCAATTACATCCATTGTTATTGCATATGTAAGTCGCGTAGACTGTAATTTTCATCTCTGAGAAGAAAGTTGGTTAAATAGCATGATCGCATCTGGCTGATTATGTGTATTGATCTGCATGTGTATAAAATCCGTGATATTTGCGTGTGGGAATATTATTATTGAATATGCTGCCAATAAAGTGCATCTATTAACTGTGCCCGACGGGTTATTTATAATGGGTGATTGAAATTGAGTTTCCACATTACAAATAATTTTTTTTTTTTGAAACGCCACTGAATTTGTCAACAACAACGTGCCATTTCTAACGTCAATATATAAACAAAACAGTCATGGAGCAATATACAACCGAACAACGTGTTAAAGTTATCCAAGCCTATAATGAAAACGGCCGATCAAGGAAGAATACATTTCGTGCTTTACGTGAATTTTATGGCGCATAAAATCGGCCTTCTGAGCGGACAATTTGGAATTTGGTGCAAAAATTCGAGCAAACTGGATCTGGCGCTAACATCAAAACCCCTAGGCATGCTCGTAGAGGTCGGCCGGAACACAATATTGCTATTGTTGCCGAAAGTGTGACCGAAAATCCAAGAACATCGATTTGTCGTCGATCGCAACAACTGGACCTTACCTATTCCACTACACAGCGGATTCTAACAAAAGAGTTGAAGTTACACCCATAAAGAGTCCATATAACACAGGAATTGAAGCCTAGGGACCATCAACAGCGCCATATGTTTGCCGAATGGATAAGAGAACAAGGGGTAAATTTTCCAATGAAAATAATCACATTGGGGGCTTCGTAAATACTCACAATTGCCGTATTTGGGGTGAGAAAATCCAAGACATATTGTTGAAGTGAAAATGCATCCTCAAAAGGTGACTGTTTGGTGTGCCTTTTGGTCCGGAGGCGTAAATGCTCCATTTTTTTTTTTCGAGGATCACGCGGAGAACGCTGTTACGGTTAATAGCGTTCGCTACCGTAACATGATACCAGAGTTTTTCTGGGAGCAGTTGGGAGATATGGACAACGAAGATCTCTGGTTTCAACAGGACGGTGCGACCTGTCACACATCAGGAGAAACGATACAATTACTGCACGGCAAGTTTCCACGTCGCGTTATTTCACGTAACGGCGATAGCAGTTGGCCACCCCGATCCTGTGGCTTAACTCTCTTAGGGTGGATTTCACAATTTTTAACAAACCACTATTCTGCACCAATAGGGTACGAGTACCAAACAGTCCGTTAAATATACCCAATCAGCCCTAAAACCCTAAAACTGTGCCAAAATTTTTAAAAATGCTAGATTTCTGAGTAAAATCTATTTTTTCAGATTAGCTGAAGGTTTTTCCATGTTTACTTCAACTTTTGTAATCCATATGTGATTATATCACCTACTGTGTGCTTATAGTTTATCTTATATTTGCAAACTTGCACTTCCAAACCCTTACATGAAAAAGCCTTTTCACTCAAATTTTTGTTAGGTGTTGCATTTCAACACATTCATACACTTCTTTCCAGTTCCTCAACGATATTTTAACTGGTCCGAAACTGTTCAACAGTTTCAACATTCATTGAAGTTGAGTCATTAATTTTCAGATAATGATTGTAGAAGGAAGATAAACCAAAATATGTGTGTAAAAATAAAAAAAAATAAAAAAAAAAATTTACCTTGTTTTATAAAGTATCCTCCCGACAAGTATTTCAGTGCGGACCTGTATTTGATCGTGAGGTCTTGTAGCACCGGCATGCCGTCCATATGTGAGGTCTTAAGTCACCTGATTCACGAACCCGTTGTACTACATTAACAAAGGCACGAGGGGTTGGTTGCACTCGATTGGGAAACCGATCCGCAAAAACATGTGCCATTTTTTATTTCGTTTGAGCCACGCAACAGTTACACCACTATTCACTACCGACTGACACTGACTGTATACAACTGAATGAAATAATTGTAAAAACGTCGTTCCAAATTCTTTCGCTTTTTTGTTTCCGATGCGATGAACCGATAAGGCGGATTATATCTGTTGTCGCCAAACACGAGCACATAATATTCTTATTGAGACAGGGCGGTACTCAAACTTCCAAAGGGCTATAACTTTGTTACTTTAATTTTACCAGAAAAATGGTAAAGGAAAAAAACATTTCTTTTGATGAGATCTACTCACTGCTAAAATAAATGACTCAACTTCGAAGTATACAATTGCAGTTGCAGTTTTTTGTTTTAATTGCAGTGTATAATCAGTCGCACCATCGGTGATGGTACATTCAACATAACCACGTATTTAGGGGTTCGTGCAGATTTAACGTGTACACGACGTCATCATTAGGCGCACCTCTGGCGATGTCTGATTGCGTTCAGGTGCCTTCTGCAGGTACCTCTTCATCACGGTCAGGAGTTGATACCAGCGCGGCTCTCGTTTCTTTTTGCTCTAGGCATGGCCATCCTCAATTAATCGCACACAAAACAAGTCCAAGGCAGAAAAACACACCCGAAGACGAACACCAAAACAAATCTCTACCGCAAATTCGTCAACAACTCAAACAAAAATAACAGATGATTCACCGCCTGGCTTTGACCGTAAATCGTCTTGGAACACGAGACACCACACAATTATTATAATTACGTCAATACGAGCATAGAACAGTATAGAAAGGGCTATCCAAGGGTAAGACGAGTTCCGAAACCACCAAATCATGTCAAAAAATGGCTGTGACGTCACCAAAACGTTTGATCACCACTGGAAATCACTAGCTAGTTACCATCTGGCGGCGTAACATGTGGAGGACACTGGTGTAGAAACAGCTGATCCTTAAATTCGATTACGTTAAGTCGTGCATGAGCCCGACATTATTTTTCAGTAATTACTAATAATTTTAGGTCTATGTCTACAGTAATTGCATTATGCACCTCGGAGATGTAGGGATTAACATGTTTTACACATATCGGTGTTTTAGGATGGGGATGACCATACTGTTTTGATTGCTTTGAAGAAATTCATTAATCCATGAATTTATAACAAATGATTACTATTATGATGTAAAGAGAGATGAGGAATTGGTTGGAATACATTTTATATTCTATTTTCTTGCAAATCCGCACAATTCAACAGGTATGTGTAGTTATAATGATCACATAAGATACACACAGTATATTGAACTCAACAAATTTCGAGATTGCCATGAATTGACAAACGACCAAACCTGCTGCCAAATTTGCTAAAAAATCGACCTATTATTTCTCCCATTCCCATTCGCTGAGGGGATAACGGATTGTTAAATGTAAACCTATAACATATATCAAAATACATGAAAGTTGTCCTGTTTTTTCTGTACAAAAGCATCATGCTGGAATCAAAAAGTGGTCTTATTTATAATACAGTCGAATTTTCACGATTTTATTCAACGTTTTAATAGAAATCACTGATATTCTGAGACATTTGACAGCTTCCGTCAAATTGCATTTCGATAAGGTATTTTCCTATTGGTCCATAATAATAATGTTGGTGAAATCGGCCCTTAAGATTATTTTCTTTGGGGGTATCTCAAGAGCAAAGTCTACAAGAACAACCAGAACGCAATTGCGGAACTGAAACAGGAGATCAGACGCGAAATTACCAACATAAGACTTGATTTGTGCCACAGAGTAGTCGAAAATTTCTAGAAACGGATTACGTCATGTCACATGAGCCGCAGCGGTCATTTACTTGATATCATCTTCCATGCATAACTGTAATGAACCACCCTGAAAGAGCAAATACAGATTTTTTATAATTTTAAATTTCTTATTTTTTTTAAAATACTTTTAATGTGGAAACTCAATTTGAATCACCCATTATGTTATCCTTTCTGACGACAGGTTATGTTCAAAGTTATAAATTACGATTTTTTACGTGTTTTTGTGGTTTCAAAAAGGAGAGAGGAGAATTACGGGGAATCACCATCGCGCCCGCGTTGTATGTAATTACTGTTGGCATGTATATGACTTGTAATTCGACAGTGTACAGTGGATATTATTATTTTTTATCTCTCTCATTTTTTAAATTCAGCAAATTTGAATATGCAATTTCCAGAATGTATGAGAAAAAGTGGATGCGCAACTAAGTTCTAGCTTTGAATCTCAAATAAGTGTCATTGAGACAAGAATCCAATGGAATTATCATCAACACATACAACTTACAGCTTAGACCTCCCATCTGTTAAGCAGATTTTACATCACATCAGAGCCAAACATTGATAACTGAAGCCTCATGACGTTTAGGCAACATGTACAACAACAAAACGAACTCACAAAGTATCCATCAGCTAGTGCGAAGTTGACATTTTGTAGAAAAACCTACATAATGTCACAAAAAACTAATACAGTGTCAAAAAAATCGACATATTGTCACTTTTCAAGATATGTAATACCCGTGCCGACAGGTGCTCCTGGTGTGCCGTTTATCCAAGTGTTCCACTACTATACAGGGTGTTCCTTAATGACATGCGAATATTTAAGGGTGTGAACCTACATGGAAAATGAATGTTAGTTTGCTTGATAAACTATGGACCACAAATGTTTCCTTACAAAAACTCGGGATGTTGAAGTTCTAGGAAAAAAATGGAAATTAATTAATACTAATAAATAATTCAGTACGTAGTGAGAGTTAATAGTGTTGCATATTTTTCAATACAAAAAAGGATTTTTAGCTTTAACAGTGGCGTGCGTACGGGTGTTGACTTCGATATTTTTCAAGAAAAAAATTCAATTCAATTCAATTTAGAATAGATGCTCTCTCGAATTAATTTATTTCGATACGCCATTTTTTTATTAAAAAAAAAGCCGTTCTATTGTCTAACTTGCAAAATTATTAATTCAATTGGAAAAATTAAACACGTTAGGGGTACAACTGAAAACATAAATGTAACATTAAAGCCAACGAAATGATTACAGAAACTGTTGAAAATAGCCCTCTTCACTTAGTACGAATGCTTCCGCCCTCCTTCTAATGGAATTGAAATATCCAGGGAGTGTTCTTTATTCTATCACAAGCTGCAACTATTATTTCACTTAATTCCTCTACAGTGTTAATGAGACTTGTGTACACTAGTGTCCTACGATAGCCCCACAAAAAGAAATCTAAGCTGTTGAGGACTGGGGACCTCGGTGGCCATTCTTGGGGCCCACCGCGGCCAATCCAACGATTTGGATAAACAGCTTGTAAATAATTACGAACCGCTACACCGAAATGCGCTGGTGCACCGTCATGCATGTACCACATATTGTTTCTTCTCACTAACGGAAGTTCATCAAGCAGCAAAGACTGTCGTTGAAGAAAGTTGAGGTAAGTCTGTCCGTCAAGTCGTCCCGGCAAGAAGAATGGGTCAATAAAGTGGTTGCCAATAACTCCTGCCCATACGTTAACCGAAAATTGATGTTGGAAATGGGTTGCGGTTACGGCACAGGGATCTTCTTCTGCCCACAAATGATTATTGTGGGAATTCTGAATGGCATTTCGAGAAAAATTAGCTTCGTCCGTGAACAGAATCATTGATTCAAATTGCGGAATTTGTATAATTTTTTGAAGGTACCACTGACAAAAGATCACACGTCTTGGAAAATCAATAGGCAGTAATGTCTTTAATCTTAAAATACGGTAAGGATATAACAAAAAAATCCACTAAAACTCTCCAAACAATTTGATGGCAAATATTTAAGTGTCTAGCGATCTTCCTCGTACTCGTTTCAGGTTGTTCTTCGACTTCGTGCAGCACTGCTTCCTCAATTTCAGGTGTTCCCAAACTTAGAGGTCTTCCTTCAGATGTTCCTTTTCGGACAGAACCAGTTTCAACAAGACAACGATGAATATTAGAAAAGGTTCGACTATCTGGCAAAGCACGATCGAGATATCTCTGGTGATAAATCTGCCTGGCTTGCTCGCTCTTACCGTTGGCAATGCCATATACGTAATGCATTTCCGCCATTTCTGCATTTGAATAATTCACCATTATTAACAAGATAGTAAAATAATGAAAATGATGTCACGGCGAACAGATTTGAATAGCAGAGGCTTGTCAGATGTCAAAAGCCAGTGAAATATTCCAGAGCAACTAGACATTTAGTGCTGAATTGCATTCTTCAATTATTGCATTGATTTTCTCGGACAATAGAACGGTATTATTTTTTTACTCAAAAAAAGCGCATCGCAAGAAAACAATTCAGAAATCATTTGTTTCAAATTGAACGGGAAATTTAAAAATAATTTTTATTTGGCAAAAAACCATTGGCATACCATTTTTTTCTTAAAAATCCCATTAACACTGTAGACGAATTAAGAGAAAGGATAGTTGCAGCTTGTGATAGAATAAAAAAACACTCCAGGGATATTTCAACGAGTGCGTAATTTCAAGAGAAGGAAGGCGGAAGCATGCATCCTTAGTGAAAGAAGCCATCTTCAATAATATTTGTAATCATTTCGTTGGTTTTAACGTGTTTAATTTTTCCAATTCAACTAATAATCATTTTGCAAGTTAGACAACAGAATGGTTTTTATTTTTTACTCAAAAATGGCGCATCGAAAGAAAATAATTCAAGAGAAGTCATTTGTTTTAAATTAAACAGGGAATTGAAAAATAATTTTTATTTCGCAAAAAACCATTGGCGTACCATTTTCTTCTTAAAAAATATTGAAGTCAAAACCTGTACGCACGCGACTGCTAAAGCTAAAAACTATTTTTGCATTGAAAATTATGCAACTTTATTAAATTTCACTACGTACTAAATGTCAGTGAAATATCTGAAGTGGTTTTGAAAATATTAATTAATTTCCATTTTTTTCCTAAAACTTCAACACCCCGAGTTTTTGTAAGGAAACATTTTTGGACCATAGTTTTTAGAGCAAACTGATATTAATTTTTCATATAGATTCACACCCTTAAATATTCGCATATCATTAAGGAACACCCTGTATAGACGATTTTTTGATCAATTGTAAGTCAAAAAGTCCATATAAACATAGGTTTGCAAATTCTGCGTTCTCAAGAAGTTAATACACAAATGTTTTTCGTAAATTTCTTCAATATCATTTACCTAATTTTGTTGTAACTTGACGGTGGCATTTATAACATTCAAGAGCTAATGTAGCCCTAACTTGATTACATTTATAAAGTACGGTGGCGTCTCGAACGTGATCTGAACGAATATTTGTGACAAAAACCACCACCTTCTTTTCCTATCTTGATTAGTTTTCGAGAGAAACAGTCCTCTTAATTGCATATACCTAACACAAGAATTATTGGTGAAATTATTATTTCTTCATAATTTTTTATCAATAGTTATGTAACAATAACAAGTAAACACTAAACTACATTACATTAACATATAAACAAATGAATTTTGTTATACTAAGGAATAGTAAATAATAATCAAGGATTGCCTTGGAAAACGATTGCAGCATGTAGTAAACAACTTGACAGTCGTCATCTCGACATTTATAAGTTATTAATTAATACTTTCTATGAAAAGTGTTTTCGGTGGTGATTTTTTGTCAAATTTATTAATAGTGAAATGCAGATATGCATTTCTGTTACGAAGTGGCTCATCGAAACTCTAACACTGCATGGCACATTTATCATGAAACATTTCCTCAACGAATACCTAGTGGTTTTCTAAGTCGAATATTGTTTGGAGATGGCACTTGTTTTTCTCGTAAATCTATTATTACACAACAATCACATTTGGGCCGAAAACGATCCATACGCCTTAATAGAACATAATATTCAAGAACAGTTTTCTTTCAATAGTTCGCTTGGACTTGTCGGTGACCATCTCATTGGATCTCATTTCGTTTCGACCTAGACTTGATGGAGAAGAATAACGGAATAAAGGATTTTAGAAGTTGTTCTAGTCATGGGAATATTTTCGGTATGTAGTACATGCACGACGGGGCTCCACCACACTTTAGGCCCGTATCGTCAGTCGTCCATACAATTGTAGGGCGCCTTTATGGCCTCCTTGATTGTCATAGTTTTCTACTTCTCCGTGTCAGAACTCTATTCTGAGGTTATGTCACAAACATCTATTTGCATCAAATTGTGCTTGCTTTTGAGTTATATCATGTTTTATCAGCCTGAAATTTCCTACAATTTAAAAAGAAAACATATCTTCACAATAGGAGAGCGCTGACGCTAACACGGGACAAGTGTAATCTAGAAATTTTTTAAGGAGAGGCAGGAGTATGACAATCAAGGAGGCCATAAACGCGCGCTACAATTGTAGGGACGACTGACGATACGGGCCTTAGTGTAGTAGTGCGGCAATTTTTCGATGAAAGTTATGATAATCGCTGGAGTCACGCTAAAATGTTGGTATACAAAACTTCTATTGAAAGTGACGAGGATTTACGGAATCGGATCATTAACTCATGTGACAACAAACAATATGCCAGGTATTTTCAAGACGGTGCGTAATTGAATGATGACGTGGCTAGATGGTTGTATTGAAGCAGAAGTCTAGATGTTAGTATTATTTAGCATGTGCTGTTGTTGCAAAATTATTATGAAAACATTATAAAAAAATATTTCCATTTTCCTTGTGTGGCCCAGGGACATGCACTGAACTGGCCGAAAAAAAATCAGGAGACAAAAAAGTTGTGTTTTTCTACATCAGTTCACGTTCAACCGCCCCGTCATCACATGACCGCTAGACGGCTGACGATTTTGGTGCTCGTATATTTTTCCAAAGTTGCACTGAAACGACCTTGTATTTTTTTCATGCTATACTGTCTATAAGTCTCGAAATAAACACTTCTTTACGAGAACATTTGGAAAATACTGTTTTTTCTAATAGTGGTCCCTGATGGGTTAAGTTAATAGTCTTAATGCAGTCAGCTGTTTATCAGTAATATTACCTGAGATGCAAAAGTCGGTTTCCCCTATGTATGGAAAGGACTCGACGCACTGGGAGTTAGCGATCACATGAGTAAGCCCCTGCATGAGCTTTGGTGACGACATGACCTCTTCTCGGTGCCCAGTTACCACTCCCCAACCTATTATCAAAAGGTCTTTTCCTAAAATAAGTAATAAATTACTATGTGGAAGGCAAGAGCACAAAATGTTATACTAAGTGACAGAAAACAAACACCAAGTAATAATGAATTTATTACAACAATCTTTTGTACACATGTGTCATAGGGCTAGGTAAGTAACTGTAGCGTATGGTCGAGCAAATAAATGAATGACACTCGAAGTTTTCTATAATTTTATCCTTTCGTACATAAATCAAACCGATCATATCCATAAGTGATTAATGACATAAGTGAGTAATGATATTTTGATATTCAAAACGTGGATGCATAAAATGGGTACACCACTTTTTGTGGAGAACTTTTTATTCGACAACAAAGAATGAGAAAACGTGTTTTTTAGGATGGGTCACGTTTTTTCTTCTAAACAAATTCAAACATTTCGTGTTTGTGATTAATTCTCAACAAAAACTTATAGACACATCCGCTTTGTTTTAAAATGTGAGTAGTAATGTATGTTTTCCGAATATCGTAGCGCATTTTGTTCAATTACTCACAAATACGAAATATTTGAACTTGTCTAGAAGAGAAAAACCTAACCTTCGTTTTTGCATAAGAATAACATTTATCTTCCGGAATGGCTGGTGATTCGTATCGGCAAGGTAAACACGTGTATGTTAAATGCTCATTAAACTAGTAGTGATGGCCGGAAGACAGGTGTTTTGGGATAAACAATTAGAAGTTCTCAAAGAACTACTTGATCAATATATTCCAATTTTGTTGTTGCATGTTGTCTCTTTTTTCTTCCATAATATTTTGCTATTAGTCGGATTTTTCCACGTGTAGTCTCATTTTGTAGGTCTCATACCTCAAAATCTTATATGAAAAGTTGTTTCGTTCCTCTCAATATTTTCGATTGAATCCCAAAAAACACGTTTTCTTATTTTTTGTTGACAAATAAAAAGTTTTCCCACAAAAATTGGTGTAACCATTTTTTGCGTGCATGTTCTAAATACCCCCTTGAACAACTTGCACCAATAAAACCAGACGTTGCAATTATTTTGGGGAAATCTGCTAATATGATTGGACTCTAGTGCCGCGATCCTGGTGTAAGGCTGTTCTTCTGACACGCTCTGACCCTGTACCGTCTATCTAACCTGCTAACCTGTTGAACATTTTCTGGTGTTCGCCAAGCATAATGAACAGAGCAGCTGTTCACAAAGTATTGCATTTTTTTTTTGTATTAACAGACGATATCACGAAAACCACTTTATCAATAAATATGGTTCAAAAGCTAATCGCTTTCTGTGCTAACCTATTTAGGTCCATATCGTCAGTCATTCCTACAATTATTGTAGGACGCCTTAATTTCCATAGCATTTTCTCTCCATAATAGATTTCTACTAGTCCGTGTCATCGTCAGCGCTCTCCTATTGTGAGGTTATGTTATATTTTCAAACTGTAGGAAATTTCATGCTGATATAGCAGATGATATAAATCAAAAGCATGGACAATTTGATGCAAATGGATATTTGTAAGATAACTCCTCAAAATAGGACGCTGACTCGGGACTGTACAAAACTATGAAAATCAAGGAGGCCATAAAGGCGTCTTACAATATTGTAGGAATGTCTGACGATACGGTTCTCACCTAGAAAGTCTTGGTAATAGATTGTTTTTTACTGGGCGTTCTTTTTTCTATGTTACTAAGTATATTTTGTCTCTCGGGAAATATGATTGAGAATAGGGCATTGGAAGTTCCGTTATTCAAGCTGTCAATAGCATTTTTATGTGATACATATACATTGAGGTGTCAAAAAAAATTAACTTTTTTTTTCAAACGCATACCCTCTGGTTTTGCTCGAAATATGTCAAAACAATTGCAAATAAGGTTCTATGTACCTAGAACCAGGGAAACCGGTGCCGTGTTGCATTGGAACATATTTTATCAAGACTTGCATATTAGGCGCGCGCTAGCTAACGTATTGCAGTGCACGTTTGTTCTATTAGTAAATGTACTGTTTTCGTTCAGTCAACATGTCAAAGGAATTACGCAGTTCTAGGTTAGGTTAGATTTCTCGTGAGTGCAACAATAACGATCCTCCACTGCGACTCTTTGGTCGTTTGTGGCTCAAACCTATTCATATTTCCCCCAGTAGCTCCGGCCTCATGAGGAAGTCGATTAACTTGTTTGGAGAAATATCCTTCAGGTCTTTTGCTTGGAGCACTACGTCTCCAAGTATTTTGCACCTGATTCTGGCAATTGCAGGGCATCTGCACAATACATGCCTGACCTTTATACACAGTCTGCACTCAGCGTCTTCCGCCATGTCCAGCCTGCTCATGTGGTGACGCAATTTGCTAATCCCTCCCAGCATTGTCCATCTCTGTAGAGATTATTTGTTTAGCCGTATTGTATGCGATCCCAATCGCTGGCTCAGGCCCAATGAAGTGTGGCTAGGCCCACTCTTTGCCAGAGTGTCAGCTGTCTCAATTCCCTCTAGACCTGTGTGTCCTGGTATCCATATGAGACGGACTTCATTTTCCTCCCCTATGCCACCGAGAGCTTATTTGCTATTCCGCTCTAATTTGGATGTCAAGTGCTTTAAGTGCGGCTTGACTATCTGTGTCTCAGTAGTCGTTCTGTGATCATTCTGGCACCCAGGTCTATAGCATATAGCTGTGCCTGGAAGATCGATGCTCAGGTTCCTAAGCTAACAGATTTTCTTAATCTTTAGCTTCGGCACGAAAGTACCAGCTCCAACACCTATCTCGGTCTTAGAGCTATCTGTGTATGCACATATATCTTTCGTTATCAGGTTAACTTGCTGTTCCCACTCATTCCTGTGTGGAATTGTCACTGAGGTAGGGTTCGGCATAACTTGTTATCTTTGGCATTATATCAAAAGGCATTCCCAGACTGGGGTGGATATTGTCAATTATACCATTTGCCACATGATGTAGTCTATAAGATGTCCTTCTTGGTTCGCCTTCCAGGTATATGTGCAAGGGGGGTACATTGAGAAGGCCCTAAATAGCTGCAGTTAGTGTGGTACGAAACGCACCAGTGATCAACACACATTCCCCAGTTCTTTCCACAGACCCTTCGGCAGTTCCATAACGAGATCCTTGCCTTCTTATGGACTGCTTCCAGATGAGAATTCCAGTTTAGTGTTTTGCCTAAGATTATTCCTAGATATTTCGCCTCTTTTGGAAATGGTAGATTTCCACCTTGGATTGTTTGAGGCTTAATCCCATCCAGTTTTCTCTTTCTGGTTAAATTAAAGATGACCTTTTTTGTGGGTTGATTGACCTTCCCCTTTGCACCAATCCGCTATTGCGGTTAATACCCTGGCTCCTTATGGTGGCCGGGATGCCTCTAAAATTCAAGATTCATTCATTCAATACCCTGGAGTGTTTTCGATATATGCTCCCCAGATTTTCCTCTGACTAGGATGACCAGATCGTCTGCATATGCTTGAACCTCGATCTCCCATAGGCGAATAATGGCAATCAGATTATCAACCAGGATCGACCACAAAAGGGGAGATAACACCCCTCCCTGTGGACACTCCCTGGCAGCTCTAAATCTGAGTGTCTCCCCCTGTCAGGATGTCGTTATGATTCTGCATGTCAACATGCTTCTGATCCAGCCGCAGATCAGAGGATTTACACCCCTGGAGCGATTCATGGAGGGATTCTGGTAAGGCATTGTTAAATGCTCCCTCTATGTCCAAAAAGGCCCTTATGTCAATTTCCTTGTTTTCCAAAGACGCTTTGATGCTCGCAACCATGATTTTGGGAGCAAGGTCTGTTGATTTACCAGCCTGATTGGCATATTATATACTCAATTACCTTTTCAAGGCCTTTCAGCAGAAATGAGGTCAGACTAATTGGTCTAAGTGACTTCGCCACTGGATCTGCGCAGTTTTGAAAGGGGACTATTTTTAATATGAGATTTAAAGCATGAAATTACAGGTTCAAATCTTCCCTTTAATAATGGACAAGTACTAGCAGTTTTGTTCTACAAGATCCGGGAAGTGAAATTAAGTGTCAATGATAGCGCCAACCTTACTATTAGTGAGTGCATGATTTACTGGCAAATGGTATACGTATACCGTCTAAATCTCTACCTATCTGTCTTAAAAAACTAGTTACCTTGTTCCGAGTTTGGAGAGATTTGCAACAAAAAGTGAGCAAAACACAAAAGGTGTTTTAGCAATGTCGATAAGAGTTTGTTACGAACTTTGTGTTTGATATTGCGCATGCCGAGGCCCTTCAATTGATGAAAATAAATGAAGATACGATCTTCTGTCGGCGGCAGAGAGAACCAGGTCGCTCTGGCGAGTTAGCTGAAGTGGACAACAAATTAGCCATAAAAGAGGAAACGGAGCTTCTTAGGAACACCGAAAAACAAAAGCTGCGAGCTAAATAAGTTGCCTCCTTAACTTCTTCGACGAACCAGTGCAAGAAAATTCTTCTTCACATTCGGAGTAGATTTACAAGAAACTTTGCCCGACCCAACTCGGAGCACACGCCTGATACTAATCAAACCTAAATGCGGAAAGGTTTTATAACCCCAATGTTATCTGAGTTCTTGAATTTATTTTACTAAAGATATTGAATTATTTGAATACATTTTTTCTTAGTCGGAACGCACCGTCGCGTCGCCTGGACTGGCAGGACGAAACAGTAGACGAATTTCGCCCAAAAACCGATTTGCACTTCACAGCTTACGTTTCATTTTTCATTATTTCCAAATGAAACTCTTGCAGCGTGCTAAAAGCAAAGTCCACAGGGTGCTAATGATCCACTTTTCGATTTTATCAACTAGGATCTTTTTAAAATATCAAGAAGTTGAGCACAAATAGTAAGCATTTCAACCCACCATAATTCTTGCACGAAGCCAAAATTTTGTAAAAAGCTCTAATAGCACATTAGGCAATTATGTCCTGCTTATATCCAGAAAAAAATCACAAACTACAGAACACAAATTGAAGGTAACGGCGAAATGGATACATTTCACGGGTCATGAAATTCAAATGAAAATGCTGGTATAAAATCTACCAAATTATCGTTCTCAAAAACATATTTCCTTGACATATCGATAATTTTAAAGTTCCACGCTAAATTCCCGTATACTTGACTAGAGTGATATCCGAGTTCATTCTTCCCTACTGTCGGCAGTTGGAGATAGATCTGTTGGCTCTTGGTGTCAAATCTATAGAGCAGGTACCGATTTTTTAAAATCGTGAGCACATTATTCGTCGGATTTTCGTTACTTAAATTTCCTGTAATCACTGGGACCAGAAGCTTCTTAATAATTGAACGTGTTTCACTGATATGAAAGATGCCACATTTAGATTCACCTTCCCCAACCCTCACTTTTTAAGCAGTACAATTTTTTGATGTGAATGATAAGGATCCACTATAACGTCAAAAACGAAGTTTCAGCAATTGTTACTTTTTCTTTTTTGCCTATAGCAACCTTGTCATTGGACTAAAACTACAAAGCTTTGGCATACTAGTAACCCCGTGTGGAAATTTCATAAAAATCCGAGCGGTAATTTCCAAGTTGATGATGAGTGATATAGCTTTTCGTGATGTAGATGTCATATGACTTAAAAAAGCATAACATCTCATTTTAAAAATTTTTCCCGATTACAATACTTCCGCGCCACTGGCGTGGGCAGTAAATCGGCATTAAAATTGAGGAGTATCAGCGATCGCGATTATGAGGCTACCAAATTATCTGAATACGTCCTTTCTTAGTCCGTATGTTGCGCCGCAACGCTTAGGTTGACAGCACGAAACAGTAGACAAAATTCGTCCAAAATACGATTTGTAGAGGTTTGCGCGCTTCGAAGTTGACGCTTTATTTTTTGATATTTTTGAATAAAATTTTCAAAGTGTACTGAAAACAAAACTTCACAGGGTGCTATAGAGCTGCTTTTTCTTTTTTTTCACTAGATTCGTTTTAAAAAAATCGCGAAGTTGAACAGAAAAAGTGCGCACTTCAACCCATCATAAAACTTGTGCAAAAACAGAATTTCAAAAAGTGCTCCCGTAGCACCCTGGGCAATTATCTTTTGAACATACTGTATGAATTTCATTCAAAAATATTGAAAAGTGGAGTGTCAGTTTCGAAGCAGCTGAACCCTTGTAAATGGATTGAATCTCACTGCGTCGGAGCCGCCTTAAAGATAGCGTTACAAGTCACAACATACGTGATACCGTAGTTGCAAAGCACGTAACGGTAAATGCACCTAACCAGAATTTGTGCTTTTTAAATGCTATGAAGGCCTACAGAAGAATTGACAAAATCATTTCAAAAGCAGCTTTACAAAAGTTCTGCAAACATTTATGATATTTGACAGATGATGCCTCTGTCTTATCTCTGTTTGACGACGACGTATGTGAGGCAACTAAAGCAAAAACTGTTGCTAATTTAGCAAGAGAAAGTCCAATACATCCCATCGAAAGAAGAACTTTCTGGCCCACTTTAAGGTAAGCCTGACGAATAAGTTTTCTTTTGTCTTCTTGTACTGCTTCGATATCATATGCTAAATAAAACAGCATAAATTGCAATTTTAGCAACAGATCGCACCTTATACTGTCTTGTCTCGATATATGTATATTATACCTCAGATAGAGGTTAGTTGCTGTGCTTTCATTCGTTGTCCTGACCTGAGGCCAAGCCTAGAGGATTCTGATGCGTCGCCAAAAAGATCAAGACATCCGTCCGAGGTTAACTGTCTGTGGTCGGATGGACAAAGTCAATATGTTTAGGTGGTAGCTATTTTTTATTTCAGAGAAAAATATCGATGACTTTGTTTTATTTAAGAGTAAGTCGTTGTTCAGTCGACTCAAAATTGATAAATGACAGTTTTCTCGACGAGTGTCCAATTTCATGCCCACATAATGATTCTTCTCAATACCCTAAGAATAAAGTTCATATACTGAGAGCAGTCAACGATACGGCAGAAAGAGCAGTCAAGTTAATGCAAAACTTTCATGGCTTAGTCACTGCTGATGAGGAACAAACACAATTTTTATTACGCAGCGTACAAGAACAAGAAGAACAAGAATCTTGACTGTAAAAAGAAAACTTCGTAAAGAATATTTATTAAAGAATATTCCCTCCATGATAAGTACCTAAGAAAGGTTTTTAAATACAAATATAAATTCAAACTTTGACCGACATTCGGCACTGGTTAAAGTTCCCCATCGCAATAAAATTAATTTTTTGAGTTGTTAGAGTCAAATAGAACAAAAACTAGAGGATATGCGTATCTCAGTGCGAACAAAAATAATTGTTTGCCCTTATGGGCTGAGACTTTACTATAGAAACATACCACTAGTCGCAGATGCTTCAAAATTCTTTGAGGCCAATTTAATTACATCGATCTCGTCGGTTCTTGGAGCAGGACGTGGTAGCCTTATAAGTCCAATATCATGCACTCTTATATCTGCAAAACAAATGCAAGTAAAATAGTTGAATGGTTGAGCAACTGTTTTTGGTGTAGCGTTTAAAACTTCATTGCCTTTCCGCCATCAAAATCTATATCATCAAACCATTCTAGAGTGGTATATGCAGTAGAGTACCCCACAAAGTTTCCATAAATATACATTTGCATTACAACAAATTTGCCGCACAATAACGTATGTACTAAAAGTTTTGGCACAAAACATTTATTGGCTTTTTTAATAATGAGGAAATTCATTTAAACAAACTAGTTATCATAAATTACAACTCAATACTTAACTAAACTATACTATCGAATTATGTCAAATGGCCCATTTTGCTCTACCAGACGCAACTTTCTTCGAATGCCTCTCATGAGGTCCTGGGCGGAATTCAGATCAATTTGTTTCAGTTTTTCGTGAATGCGCCTTAACTGTTCTTCCCAGCTCCATGATAAACCTTCCTAAACAGTAAAGCACAAAAATCCTCTATTTGGTAAGCCTGCTGCAAGTTTGGAGGATTATCGTTTTTGATAACAAAGGATATGTCTTGTTGTCGAAGTTTTGGGTAATTCTTGCATAATGGCATGATGCTAGGTCTAGCCAAGTAAAACCGGGATAGACGCCGCAACGGGATAGATGCTTCATATTCTAAAAACCAAACTCCCCGAACGCGAGTCTAAAAATTAATTGTATGAGTAGGGGACGCACTTATCCCTTAGGGGCATCTATCCCACTTTAAACCTTATATGGCATAAGCACATACATATTATTATATTTAAATATTTTAGTTTATGTGATATTTTCTATATTTACGTATATTTATATTTGGACATTTTACTGATTCTAGCAGAACCATGCCAGGAAAATATAAGAGAAAGGAAGGAGTGCAAGTTCGAGTATGTTTTTGGACTACAGAAAGCTTTTGATGAAACGGACAAAAACACTATGGGGATAAACGAAATATCCCGTCAATTTGGTATTCCATCAAGGACATTGAGAATACGATATGCTGTCAAAAATAAAACAAAATTGACAATGGGTATGTATGGAAGATTATATCGTTTAAATGGCTACCGCGACTGCGCTGTACAGCGTGCATTCGCATGGTCCAATTTTCGAGCACTTTTCCGCACATTTCAGCGTCTACCTGTCCGAGGACGCGAATGATGTTGGCCCTTAATGCTGCAATTGTTTGTGGCTTATCCGCATACACTTGAGACTTCACGTAGCCCCACAGGAAAAAGTCTAAAGGCGTTATATCGCACGATCTTGGTGGCCAGTGCACATCGCCGCCGCGCGAAATAATGAAACCGTTGAACTTTTCATGCAGTAAATCCAGCGTTGCGCGTGCGGTGTGGCACGTAGCGCCGTCCTGCTGGAACCAGATGTCTGTTAGATCCATATCGTCCAGTTGAAGCCACAGGAAATCATTAATCATGGCGCGATACCGATCTCCATTGACCGTAAGCGCGTTGCCCATAGCGTCCTCAAAAAAATATGGACCGATTACGCCGCCAGCCCAGAAACCGCACCATACAGTCACTTTAGCAGGATGCATAGCAATTGAGCAAGTCACTTCAGGGTTTTGGTCAGCCCATATACGGCAATTCTGTTTATTGACATACCCATTCATCCAGAAATGCGCCTCGTCGCTGAAGATGATTTTTCGTGCAAATGCAGGGTCGACTTGCAACTGCTCTAGAGCCCATGCGGCAAATGTACGGCGCTGTCCATGGTCTTGCGGTTTCAATCCTTGCGTCAATTGAATTTTGTACGCGTGCAATTTCAAGTCTCGACGCATAATTGTCCATGTTGAGGTCTTTGGAAGGGCAAGTTCCTGTGTACGTCGCCGCAATGACTGATTCGGGTCTTGACGCACGCTCTCTAGCACAGCAGCAATATTCTCGATTGTTCTTACTGTTCGTTGCCGTACGGGTGATGTTTGGTCTGCCACTGAGCCAGTTCTCTCAAATTTATTGAGCAGACGTCGAATAGTGGACTCAGCAGGACGGCCATGCGCACCATAAATTGGACGCAATGCGCGGAACGTTTCACGAACCGAACATCTGTTTTGATGATAAATTTCCACAATTTCCACGCGTTGTTGAATCGTGTACTGCTCCATGATTAAATGTCAAGACTAACTTAATAACCTCACAAAATTTGACAGCTGTATCCCCACCGGTTTGGGCGCGCGCGCCGTTCAAACATCGAGCGTCCCTATCTGAACACCCTTTATTAAAAATCATGTAGGTAGTACAAGTTATCATAAACTTTTATTTTACTGATTGCTATCACTAGTTTCTAATATATTTATTAACGTTAGTTATTTGTTTTAGGAAAGCATCCTGTTTTAGATTTTGACAACGAGAGGAGGCTAGTAAAACACATTCTTAAACTTGGTGAGGCAGGATTTCCTCCAAATAGGCAAGCCATACGCATGTTCGCTCAATTTGCTGGAAAACTAAATCTAAAACATAATTTCGACCACGATAATGAAATGGCTGGAGGCGCATGGTTCAAAAGCTTTATTGAACGAAATCCGGAACTATGTAACAGACAAGCTGAAGGTTTATACTGACATATATATATATATATATAAGTACGAATAGTTTATAACAATTTAGAACTTAAGTTTTTTGTTGGTTATATGCTTGTAAAGTTGATTTTACCAAAAAATGTGACTATGAATGTTGTAACTTGAGAATTTATATGTTAATTAAACAATCCCTCTAAAATATTTAATAAGGGTTCCTTACTTTGTGTGATATTAATATTATCTTCTAATTATAACAATAAAAATATTAAATAAAAACAAAATGTTATCATTATTATGTCCCATGTTTCTTGGAGACAATATGCTGCTGTGTTTTAGGAGTAGAACTTCTTAACATTTGGATTGAGTATTTTGTTTACAGGATATGAAGGGCATCTATCCTGCACTATAGGCATCTATCCTTTTTAGTTTTTTCATGGCGGGGCAACTATCCATATAGATAGGCATCTATCCTCAAAAAAGAAGTTCCACGAAAAGTGGATTTCTGCGAAATCTGTAATTGATAGATTCAAAAATGATGATAGTTATTCAACATAAGGGATTGAACTAGCTACATTCATAGAATTTATTTGTATAAAGTTAATAGTCTTAAAATTAGGCAAATATCCCTAAAAGTGGGTCATCTTCTAAAATATTTGAAAAAGTGTTAAAAAAACGATTCACCGAATTTGCAAAAAAATATAACTTAATAGCGGAAGTGCAATATGGTTTTCAAGAAGGCAAATCTGCTCAAGATGCTATTGTAAAATTAACAAATAAAATATACACGAATCTCGATATTGGCAAACCAACTGCTTGTGTTTTTGTTGACTTGGCAAAGGCATTCGACTCTATTACTCATGAATCGCTTTTAAAAACTTTAGAAAACTTAGGTTTCCGGGGAATAACATACAAACTTATAGAAAATTATTTGTCAAATCGAACACAGTGCGTCAAAATTAATAACACATTCAGTGAACCCCATATTATATCACACGGTGCACCTCAAGGCTCAGTATTAGGACCCATTTCATTTAATCTATTTATCAACGATTTGTTCAAAATAAATAGTACAGGTAAAGTTATCGGTTTTGCGGATGATACAGCTATTCTCTATGAAAGCAACCAGTGGCATACACTAAAAACCACAATCGAACATGATTTCAAAACATTTATAAATTTCTTTTCGGAAAGAACTTTGACAATTAATTACAACAAAACACACTATATAGCATTTTCTTGTAACGACAGGCTCTCACCGCAATTTAAAAAACTTGAAATTCATACAAGCAGTGGTCTCAAAGAGATTCAGTCAGCCGATAAAATAAAATACTTAGGCGTGATTTTGGACAAACACTTAAAATGGGATACCCATACAGAGTACCTTGTGAAGAGACTGAGATGTATTATTCCAAAATTCAGGTACTTCAGAGATATTCTAGATAAGATAATATCTATATAATCTATATTATGCTCTTGTTTATCCTCTATTACTTTACGGAATTTTGGCTTGGGGGGGGAGTTATGAATAATAATTACAAAAAGGTTGAGGTCATCCAAAAATTAATTCTAAAATTGATCCTCCATAGGGAGATTACTTATTCAAGTGATTTTCTATATGTGGAGGCTCAGCTATTAGATTGCAGACAAATTTATTTTTATTGTGGTCTAATACATTATTTCAAATATTCAAAATACTTTAATCGTACCATTCATAACTACCCAACAAGATTCAATCAAAATTCAATGTGTATTCCACAAACATCAAAAACCATTACACAACGATCTCTGTTTTTCTTGGGACCAAAATTCTATAACTTCATACCAGAGTCATTAAAAGTAATTAAATCAAATAAATCATTTAAAAAACAACTAAAAAAATGGATTTTACAACAACCAAGGTACTCCATCCACGAAATTGTAGATCTGAAAAATCATTATCAAAATCAATAATATTTTACTTACACTAACATCCATACTTTTACTTCAGTTCTAATTGTCTGGATATTTTTCCTGACATTACCATAATAATTCACCAAATTATACAGTATTAACGGGTTTTTTCTTTTTTCTTTTTTTCTTTTTTTTTTTTCATACACTGACTGTACTATTAGTTTTTATTTTGTACAAACCCAAACACAAGTGCAAACTTTTTTTGGGTGCTTTATGTTTATTGTTCACAATATTTGATATTTACTTGTATTTTGTGACAATAAACATTATTATTATTATTATTATTATTATCTATCCCGGTTTTACAGCATGATGTTCGTGGACAAGCTGAAGCAATTTAAAAAGGCAGTTATCAATATAGCTCTGACTATTTAAATCTTCACTTCTCCTCACTTTTCCCACAAAAGGTTGGGACGTGTTCCAAATTGCGCACCAGAAAAGGATTTTAACTGCAAATTTCGCTTTATGTTTGTATCTAACATTGTCAGGGCATTACTATGCAATGTCTGTATC